ATCTCTTAGTAAAATCTCTTATGTAATTACAGAGGTTCCCAAACACATTTCAGATGTAAATTACTCAGGTGAAATATTTATGGGAAAATACTGTTAAAATCGTGCCATAAAACTCACCTTTGTACTAGAAGGACTGCTTCTGTGCCAATTTTGGGGAATTCCAAGCTGAGGAGTATGTGCTAATTGTTGAGTTATCAAACTGGCTGGGATTTCTAGTAAAATCAATGTTACTTTAGTCTCTTTTAGAAGTAGCTTAAATATAGGGAATTACAGGGGAATATTGTGTCATATTTTTTTCCTTAAAGAAGTTAGACTAATACAGAGGTTGCTTCTGTTGGGTGGGTGGGTTTTGGCTGCGGGTATGGTGATGGGCTTTCACTGGATACCATTGAGAAGAGCCTGGCTCCTTTGTCTTTACCATCTCCCCTCAGATACGAAGACAGGCAGATGTGATCCCACTGATCCTTCGAGCTGTCTCTTCCCCAGGCTAAACAGTCCCAGGTTTCATCCTCTCTTCTGTCACAGTGCTGCAGTTATCGTGGAAGGGAGGAAGGAGACACTAAGATGATCGTACCATTTTCAAACAGGGAATGTATTTTGGGAAAATCTATACATGTGAAATAGTGCTCATCCTCTCAGACCAGTGTAGCTGTAGATGTGATCCCTCTGCCCAAACTGCAGATTAGTTCCCGTATCAATTCTACATCCTCTCACATCAAATTGCTGAGTCTGATATGGGCAGGTACTATTAGAAAAACTCATTTTACTTACTGTAATTGTAACGTGCTCAAGATGTAACACAAAGTGTCCGGTGTGCTGTGTCTTTCTGGGCCAAATGGTCAAATCCACGCTGCTTGAAAAGCAAGAAGTGCAGGTCTCGTTTGGGAGAGGCGGCATGCACAGCAGGAGGCGCTTGCCCATTCTTCAGTAGAAGTTGCCACAGAAAAATTGAGACTTGCCTGCAATTAACGTGATGGTCCACCTGATGTCAGTATTCCCTCACGTTTAGCTGTTCTAAAGATGGCTATAAACTCAGAAAAACTTCTTGATGCCAATGTAGTTCCTAATATTTTCATTTAAGTTTAAAGTAACACCAACCTAACGAAAAATAAGACAAAAGTGGCTTTGATCTTGATGTTAAAGCAAACTAATCCTGCCCCCAGATTTGTCTCTACTTACACTTTGCCATGGCTGCTTATTTTAGTTGCATTAAAGGAGCAATTAAATGTAGGAGCACGACTCGTGTTGCGTTTCAGAGGGGTTTTGGCAATGTTTCCTGCAGCTTGTCAGAACATAACCACGTAGCAAAGAATATTATTTGCCTTCAGAAATCACTGATGTTTTCTGTATTTCACCTTCATTGCCAGTTTAGGATGGAAACTTGGTTAAGGCATGTAAGAAACAGGAGATAAAGTTTAAAATTTGTCAGGATGTCAGTTCCATGGTGAAAACACAAAGAATAATCATAAAGAAAGATAAGCGCCTTCATGTAATTTGAATATTCAGCTTTATAAAATGAAACAATTACGTATGACACAAATCCACAGCTCATGTTCCTTTTCATATCAACTAAGAAAATCTTTCAGATGTGCCAAGGACTGAAAACACTTGGAAGATATTTTAGGATAATCTGTGCTCAGTGACAAGTTTTGTAAAATAGAAGGAAACTATTTAAGCTGTAAATTATTCAGCAGGTTGTTTTGCATACCACTTAGCAGGATGAGGCTTTGTGCTGCATGGGTTGTAACAATTAACGCCTTTAATGTAGGTCTTTGTTAATTCATAATTTTTGTAGGGTGGATCTGAGATATAAAGGGCTGCAATTTTTAACCCATACCTCTGCTGAAGTTAATTTATACTAATATATGAAAGCTTGACATATTTAAGCTGGTATGAATGCAGCAGAAGAGAAAACGCTTCTTGAAGTCCTAGGTTTGTTTTAGACTTTTCTTTGAAAGGCAAATGATCATATTGAAAATAATTCAGAATAGGAGCCCTGGATCCCCTGAGGAAAGGAAGTGTTCAGGCTCTTCAAGGTTCCCTCTTGGAAGGCTCAGCGCCAGGTTGGCATGTATGTTCCCAACACTGCAGACCTGGAGGTAGTCTAAAAAATATCTAGACAAATTTCTGCATAAATACTATTCTATATGGTGTTTACACTGTACAATGGAAGTGTCACCACTATAGGAAGAATTCTTTTTCTGTAATAAAGAAGACTAAGCTTATGCAAAAAGTAGTTTCAGCTAAGCAGGCAAGTTAGGCAGAAAGTTTCAGCCAAGCAGGCCTGAATAATTTAAGGTCAGCTTTCTAAAAGGAAACTGATCTGCTGTAAACTCAACATCATCCTAAACAAATTTATGCAAGATGAGGATCTTCTGCGGGATGCAGAGGCTCTCAAATGCTGACAATTTCATCTTAGAGACAGGATTTTCAAGTCAGATAATTAATAGTTCAGATAAGAACTCAAATTACACTCAGATGTAAATAGTAGTAGAGGCAAAATGCATACATTGTAGTGGCAAAGCAAAAAAAGTAACAACAAGGAGCATGAACTTCTCTGAGGCCTCTAAAAATTGTCAGAAGTGGTCAGTAGCCGAGAGAGTAAAGTTTTGTGTGAACAAAATCATCATCTTCATTGCCTTCAGGAAGGCAAACTATTTGGATTGATAAAATACAGTTGTAGTTTAATGAGAGATAAGCTGTAGCTGTCCTACAATAATAAACCTTCATAATGGGGACACTGAATCTGCTGTAGTGTATTACAGCTGTAAAGATCAAACAGTTCCTAGGGAACAGCATGAGCAGCTTTATTTTAGCAGATGTTTATTATTTGTTCTTCAGTTTCAAATCTTGTTGATCCAGTGTTGGTAAATTGTACAATTTAAATATGAGATTCCTTTCAAAAATTCTTTTAAAAAGTCAGCAAAGCAGTCCTGATGGTGCTACACACCACTCTCACCTTCCTTTTTAAGGTAGAGTACCACAGGGGCATTTCCTACTCCTCTTGTAACACTTTCTGTTTCAGCCATGCATTAGTAAATCTACCTTTGCAACACTTTCCATCAGGTTCCGAAAAGAAATACTGTGGCCACTTAAGGGCTGAGCCAGTACAAGCTCTGCTGATTGGACACAATTTTCAAAGGTAGCAACTCAGCTGAACGAAAACAATCTTGAAAAACACCGAAGCAGACTCTTAAGAGTAGTCTCTGCTCCATGGCAGACAGCATTTGTTCTCACACAGCTGGGATAAACATGTGAAGTGCTCAGTGATTTTGATAGACACCAAATTACACCATGTCTGACCTTGATGAAATTTACATTGCTGGATGAGCATGCACAGGCCTGACCTCAGCAAATCTGGAGCCACAGCCACCTTCTAACAATTCTGCACCTCAGGCTGCTAGGCAGACTGCAGCATCCAGTAGGGAACTTGCCCAAGCAGGTTTGTGTTTCAAAACTGAAATTGCAAGGTGGAGTTTGAATGTAGTATTTTAAATCCTATTCTGTAGATGAGAATCTGGGTGACAGGCAAGGAAAAGATTATGATGAGTAACACTAATCAAGTAGTTGGGGGGGGGGGGGGGGTCAGCCCCTTGTTTCCTTCTTTGCTTTTTGTTGCTCTCCTGCCTCTCTCTGATTCACACAGCTGAGGAGGGGTCTTTCTGCCATGGAACAGCACAGCGAGCTGAAGTGATTGTCACTAGCAGACACCCAGGAGCCAGTCAGTGCAGAAGGACTGCCACACGCACACCACGCAGCTCAACCAGCAGGATCCTACCCAGCTGTTGCAGAAGAGGCAGCAGGTTCTTTGGACAACCACAACAAACACCATGTGGGTTTGTGCTGAGAGAAACACACCCAGGGGAAGAGTTCCTACTTCTCCAGCCCAGTGAGAGAGTTAATGTCAAGAAATACTTTGGATGTATGTGTACAGTCTTCAGCTGTAATTTAGTGTGGCCATGTATATGGTGGCTTGCTTATCCACTGAGCTTTCTTCACAGGCATACAAGGCAGTTTATACACACCTCCCCTGCACATATAATGCAAAACGCAGTATTTACTTACCTATGTTATGGATAAATTTGAAACAAAATTAATGTCTTCATAAGTAGTCTAATTGCCATAATTCAAATACCGTGTTTTCTTCTTCTGTTCCTAAGCATCAGTAAATTAAATACATGTACTGATTATGAAAGCTGCTATGAGCAAATGTAAGATATTTACTACTTTAGCCATTATATTTCTTTAATAAAACATACAATTGGATTCTAACCTATAGCATTAAATAATAGAAGCAAGGTGTTTTTCATTGTTGAGGGTTTTTTTTTTTGTTTGTTTGATTTTGGTTTGTTTTTTTTTTTTACCGACTTAGAAATTAGTTGGGTACTGTTAAAAGAGTTGTAAAGTTAAGCACAGCTGCCCTCATTTTCCCCAAATAAACTATTTTTTACCCTATCTTATTTTCCCTCAATTATAAATTGGGAAAGTAACTGACCTTGCTGAGATGATAAATAACACAACTAATGTCTTCACTTTATCACCTTCCATGACCAATTCTCAATTCATAAGTCATTTGACTGCCATGCAATAATAACATCCTAGTATCTTGGAGGAGAGGATGTTCCAGGAGCAGCTCAACGCTTGCAAGAGACAAGAAAACTCACGTCTGTGTGGGTGGGAGCAAAATCAAGATTACATTACCCTGTCTGCACCATGCTACTACTCTGTTCTTCTGCTGGGATGACACAGAGCACCAGTTCTCATTGCTAAGTTAATCATATGGGTCCTTCGTCCCTGGCCAGCTCCACTCCACACTCGACAGTACAGGCATCTTGTGTTTCTAAGGTTGAAGCTTAAAAAACATGGCCAGTTACAGTGTATCCAGCATATTAGTTACAAAGTGTGCAGTCTCAAGAATTCATGTTTCAGACACTGTTCAACATGTAGAGTCTAAAAGAAGGTAAAAGAGGGGGCGTTAAGCGGTTTAGGCAAAAAGGAGAGACATTGTGTTTTAGGTAGGGGTTTTATTGTTTTTCAACCAAAATGTCCCTGTCACAACCAAATACGTAGTTCCATGTTCTGTGTACAATATGTGTGCTTTACCGGTCTTCTCAAAGTAAAACAAACCCAATCTTTTTTAATAAAATCCATGAATATCAGAATTTTATTATGAATTTTCATGAAAGTGCATCCCCATCTTTTTAATAGATCAACTGCTTTATTTGCACAATGATCATGAAACATTCAAGTAATCCATTGTCCTAAATAAACGAGGAAAAGAAATAAATAATAAAATCATTCTATAAATAAATACATACCAAGCTTACAGAAGCAGCTTATAGTCCTATAGTGTTGTGCAACACCTTTTGTGTACACATCTTTCCTGTCAGCAAAACTACAGCAGACGAGACCAAATGTATGCCTTGTAATTTCTCAAGATGAAAACTCTCCATATCCAAGCAGCTCTCCCTGGAATAACAAAATATGCAGCACAGTTGTTTCTGTACCAAACTTCATAACTCCAGCCAGTCTTTAAAACTGAAAGATCCTCAAGAAGCAGGCAGTCAGACAATAAAAATGAGGAGTGATTGAAATTGTTTTGGCAAAACAATTTGCTGACAGTCCTAGAATACAGAAGAACATTAAGAGCTACTGCAGAATAAAGCAGCGTCAGTGCACACCCTGAACTTGTTTCTAAACAAAAATTGAGTGTTAAGAGAAACACTTCTTTGATCCAAAAGTCAGGGTCAGGTTGCTAGTGTTACTTCACGATAGAAACAGCATTTTCATGTTGGTTTCCAAGTATGTGCAAGCAGAATTGAAAAGCCGTGCTAATGTGGATGGGGACATAGATGTAAGCAGTGTATAACACCATAAGTAACATGGTAATGTTGAAAGTGTAGAAAAGCACTTTTTCCCAGGGCTCCATGAGGTAGCTGCAGGTAATTAGTTCGAACTGGCAGAACAGCCAATAGAGATAGTTCTTCATGTTCTTAATATCCATCTCCAACTTCGTGCCACTTCTGAAAGCCTTCCCTATTAAAATAATGGATAGTAAAAATAGAAAACTTTTTCTAAAAGAAGGAAAAAAAACCTCCATGGAAACATCATATGCACAGCAACTCTGTGCTACTCAGCTTGCTCATACTGACCATTTTTAGTAAATTATGTTTTAAAACCACAGCAGATGTAAAATTCCAAGGTCGCAAATGCATTTTAAAGCATAAAACATGGTCAGATAGTAACAGACTAACGTGAGTCATTCTTCTACCCCATCCCATAAAAGGCTTCATTTGTATTCCATTTTCCTTTCCTATATTCAGTTCTGAACATGACAGTTAAATCACTGGCACTCTTATTTATCAAGAAGGCTCCACAATGTTTCTTTATTCCAGAAATCAGTTACCCAATAATTGGTGCAATTCAGTTCTCTGAGCCAAACTCTACTTTCACAACTTTGCCTTCCACTGGATTATTTAAGGCTTAATTCAAAAAGCATTTCAAACCCTCTCTCCTTCACCACTCATGAATTTTGACATAGAACTTGGCTAGAAGTCTGATTTCTCCTACTGCAGGCTGAATTTTATATCCTATATTTCAAGTGCTGCTGGAATGCAAACTGCAAGTATTCAGAACTCCACACAGACAGAACTACAATAAGAGAAACTATATACATATTCTTCTGCTGCTTTTGCAACAGAGATTGAAAGCATATACATTTATTTTAAAGCTTTGTGTTCAAATTAATGTTGATGATTACTAAGTATTACATTATATATGTAGCAGAACACAGAACTGGAGAGGTAAAGAGAAAACAAGACTATTTCAGTTACTGGTGCTTCCTGTCATTTGGTAAATAAGAGATGACAAAACTAAAACCGATTCCTCACTTTTTAATAGAAAACTTAAGAACTTCTGGTGGTGTCAAGATCTGTGAAAAGAAATTATTCCACAGAAATTAAGTACAACTTCATCTCTCAATATAGAGTGGGACTTTATCCTAACAAAAGCCCCTTCCTAATGTGCTGTTTTTTTTTTTTTAATTTTGCCTCACCTTTCATTTAACTTCTACAGCTTCTTCAACTCTTCCCTGCCTGACAGGTGAGATAAACTAGATAATGCTTCTGTAGTTAAGAATTGTTATTAGCTGCTTTTAGCAATATCCTTAATATATCCATCACATTTCTGTACATTACATGCAGCTTTTACTAGACCTAGGTTATACCTAAGCCTCTTATCATCAAATGCATTGCCAAGCATCTTTGAAGAAAGACATTTCCTACCAAAAATTGATTTTGTAGAAAGTGGAACTTACCTCTTCACTTCTCCCTGATGACAAAACGTCCAGGTGAGAGATGCTTCCTAACTCTTCTGCCTTTTGCAGCTGAACAGCTCAGGTACGGATTAAGAAGCAGAAACAATTACCTTTGATCCTCAATTACAGTGTGTATCCTCCATACCCCGCCCTTCTTCACTGTTGCTAAAACTCTGGCCAAAATTGTCTGCATTATGCAACCAGGACAGCCATCATGTGGCTCAGTACCATGCTCTCGTGACAGCATTAATTTGATAACTTGTACAAAGTCAGAGTTTAAGAACTGCAGGTTGGGAGGAACATACAAGGCTGAAACACTACTCAGGACAATCAGCAAAACATGTTTACAGTCTGTGCATTCCCTAATTTCACATCTCAAAAAACATCTCTGTTTCTCTGGGACTTTACGATGCAGGATGCCAAGGTTCCTACAAGGTGCAATTAACATCCATGCAAAAATACAAGTTACGTGGCCACAAAAATGTAGCCCAATTAATATGTCACAGACAAGTCTCTGGTGAAGCCACCACCTCCTGCAACCTTTGATTAATACCGCTTTCAAACAGTTCCCAGTCTTCTCTGTATCAGTATATCCCAGCCCTGTATAGACACCTCAGTTGTCCTCATCCAGAAACCCCAGGGTGGAGAGAATACGTGGACAAGATTTCTGCAAGGAAAAAAAAACTGTGATTTTTTTTTCTTAAAAATGCTATGAAATAAAACCAAGCCACAAATGCTTGAGGCATTATAATGATCTAATTGGACAAGCAAACGAGGTAGAAATCTGCATAACATATTATGTTCTAAACTATCTGCCTGCAGTCAAATAATTTCCAAATATGAATCAGCTTCATTTTGGGAGACTACACCATAAGCAATGTCTAAGGCATCTGAGCCTCACCTTCCTTCTTCCTTTCCTTACAAATCACAACCTAAGTTGATCTGTTAGTAACTGCTGATCTATTAGTAACTGCTTATCTATTAGTAACTTCCTACCTTATCCCTGCCCTGTTAAACTTTATTCTGTTTTTCAACAAAATAATTTTTTCTGTCTAAAACCTGTCCATTTTTCATAGAAAATTTAGAAATAGTAAACTACTGTCCCTAGCAGCAGTAGTAAATATGCCCCATGCCCCACAAGGGTTTGCCAGAGGAGGAGTGTATATCATGAACTGAACAAACTATTACATGATGGAAGATATAACCTAGTTTGTGGTCTAGAGAATGGACTCATCAAACGTGAAATATAATTGCCTTGGAGTACTGCTGCAGGATTCTTATCTCAAGAGTTTCTACTTTCGACCAACTCCATATTTCCATGGAGTATGGAGGGATGGGCTGGGAAAAGTTGATTTTCAGGTTGGTTGGTTGTTGTTTGGGGTGTTGGTTTTGTTGTGTTTTTTTTCCATTAAGATGTTGGTGAAAAAAATGTCTACACGGGAGAAACATTTGACAGCCACAATACCTCCTCCTCATGGACGTCCCTGCTTCACATTACTCACTCTCCCTGTGAGGTGGATCAGCCTCTTCTGAATCCTTTATCAAGATGCAGTAGCAGAACACTGATTACCAGTACAGCTGAAGGCAGGGCTGCCACCACTGTGCTCTCTGAATCCTCTTCAAAAAACATTTCCATAAGAGCCAGGAAAACTCAGATCAGTACTTCTGCCATTCTCAGGTGCAAAACCATAAGAAGTTTTCATTCTTTTTAGTAATTATCCACTAGTTCTTCCAATAGCAAATTCCCTGAGTTGAAACAATGCAGAAAGAGACTTGCTGGGTTTGCTGTAGTTCCTAACAGTGTCAAAAAGTTTTTACCTGATAGCCGAGTGCCGCTGTGGTAGTGCAGAAGAACAGGCAGTTTCACAGCAATAAGATGTTTGGGTAGGCAGAATCCACTCCTAGTGTGGTGCTGTAAGCAGATCTCAGACAGTGGTATGTAAAGCCCCCAGGCATGCTCTCCTCCTCACTTTCTGAGCGGCCACCCCTGCTGCTTTTCCCAGCTTCTACCCCAAGGGGAAATAAGAACTCACAAATACTTTTCACAAGTTGTAATCATATGTGTATAGCTTCATGCAGAATACAAAATTCACCTCAAATGCCTGGCTTTTAAGGCAGTTTTAGCCAATGCACTTCAAGATTCTTTTCCCCGCATATGCAAGAAACAGAAATAGTCTTCAAGATAAAAACAAAGCAAAACAGACCAACAAAACCAGACAAAATCATACTGCAACATTTGGTAAGGCACTGTGAAGGATGACTGCAAATACATAGAACTTACTCTGAAGAGCAGGAAAGAGAATCTCCTGGATAGCATTATGTCCCAGAGGGGCTAGTCCCTTGTTTTCAGGTCTCTTGATGGTGTTGCCCACACAATTAAATTTCAAAACCTCTTTTTATTGCTTCCAACTATGGTTTCCAGACAAACAAATTCAAACACAACCATATGAAAGTCACACAGTGAGACAGCAACCAGAAACATCCAAATTACCACTGTGCTAAAGGAAATCACCAGCCTCCCTTTTCTAAGTTCAGTGAGGTTCCCCATATGGAAAAGCCACCACTTCTGGTTTATACAGAATTTAGACAATTAGCTCCCGAAGCAGAAGTACTGTGCGTTTTGGGTTTGGTTTGGTTTTTTTTTTTGGTTTTTTTTTCCTATTATTTTATGCCTTATAATGGGATCCTCTGATGTCTAGTAGGGTGCAAACCTCCACTGAGGCATTTGCTCTGCATTTGGCTTCAGAACGGCTGCTGTCTGTGTGGTTTCTTTGCTGTTTAGTAAGGACTATGTGATATCCTACTTTTTCTCTTCCTGATCATTTCCGTAGACACAATTTGTGTCTTTGAGATCTCCTCAAATAAGTACTTTCAGTACTTCTTTTTCCAACTTAACTGAAATTGGTCATGGGTTAAAATATGTGGTGTGTATAGAGAGATAGAGATAATGAAAGAAAATAAGCCGTATTTCCATAGAAGACCAAGCTAAAAATGCCCAAAATCTCTCTACCTTACACCTATACACTGTGGTAAGTCATTTATCTGTCTACTTAAAATTTACACACTGGAAGATAATAAAAGCAGAAAATTAAGGTGATCAGGACAGCTTTCTAATCTACCCCATCTATCTGTCTACACAAAGCAAGGCACAGACAAGTTTGTTTTGTTGTAACAGTATACTTCAGTTTGATCCCTTTTGGCTCCAGCACCTCTTGGAAAAAAGCAGCATCACTGATGAATTATTAACATTCAGGGAAGGCAGCTCTCTGACAGACAGCATCTGTGTGTGCATTTGTATAAGCTCTTCGGGCTGCAGCTTCAAGCCCATAATGTGGTCCTTAGCTCAGCAACCTCTTCCTGCTCTCTCCCTCATGCTGGCAAGGAGGACACATCAGGGAACTAGCTGAGGCCTGGCAGGTCATAGATGTGCCAGCATCTTCAGTCTGTGCAAAACCTGACCACACAACTGCAGGCACTGGAGGAAGGGACAGGATGGAAACACAGGACAAGGGCAAGGAGATGGTGGGAAGTTAGGCAGGGCACAGCAGCCCAGGCAAAGGTGAGCTTAACCTGCTATGGAACTGCACCATAAAGTAAGTAACATGACCATGAACAGAGGCACCAGCCTCCTCCTGTGAACACCCGCAGCCTCTGAGCATCATCCTGTGTCCTCAAGGCACCTGAGCATCAGCTTCATGGCACAGGGAAAGAAACTAAGCAATATGGGATGGCTTTTATGGTGAGTTGTCAGCTTGATTTGCCAATACAATCAAGCAGCACCAGAACATACACTACTGTTCCTGGAAAGGAGAAACATTGCCCTATAGTGTAGAACAGCCCAGTTCTTAGAAAGGTTCTGGTGTGCGTGATGTAAAATATCTGGCATGTGGCTCCACAATTTCTGGCACCAGATGACAGGTTTATCTGGAGTAGTATCACCCTGGAATCAGGCTGTATGACACTATATAGCAACTCAAGGAATGTATCTTGATGAGGAATGTATCTTGATGAGGAATGTATCTTGGCTCCAGCTTATAGGAGCTTGACTTACTCCCATTTGAAATGCAAATAGCATATTTTCATTATTACATTTTTGCCTGCAAGAGTCATACAATTTCCCAGCATGTTTCCCCATACCTGGCTAGACCAGTTCAGGAACTTCTTAAATTCTACATCAGGACAGATAATTAAGTAAGTGAAAATTATGGAGGCTAGCAATCTCCAAAAGCACAAGGAATATACGTAGTTGGCCCAGAAGGATTAGGCACAAACAAAGATGATACCATGCCATTCGATGTGTCACAGAGCGTTTCACAAAAGCTGGACAGTTAAGCACATCAGTTGTGAAAGCAGTGAACCTAGACAATTACTGTTTATCTTACTATATAGCTCACTCACATTATTTCTTATTTAGCTACCACTGATGCATGGGAAACCCCAGCAAAACAAGTTTATCCTGCCCATCAGTGTCCTAGCAGTATCTAGAATATACTCTTGTGGGACAGTCCTTGCATGCCTTCATCCAAGTCAAAGCCTTGTCTCCAAGTGTGGCTCAAATTCACCACATATTCCTTCACCTGGCAGACTTTCTTAAATGAGAATGGGTCATTTAGGACTAGAAAGGGGAAGCTATATGTTCCTGCATGGAGCAGCTAAACTCTGCTTTCTCCTTCTTGTTTCTGTAATGTTTATCAGTTTCAGTTTTTCCTGTGTTGCCCATGCTGTCATACCCCTCAACACATAACTGACATTGTTTCAGGGGTGAAGCAAACATAACTGGAAACAAAAAGCTGCCTAAAAGGAGTTTAAAATCTAGAACTGTACAGATACAAAGCCACAACTGTGATTGCAGAGCTGAATGTGCAGCCTGGGACTAGCAGCTGATTACACTGACTGCTCTCCTAAGACCAAGATTCTCCTGTTCTCTCATTTCTAGCATCATTTTGTAGTTTTACTTTAAAGCACAGGTGATACAACCCTAGCTATCTTGCAGGCCTTCAGCACTGCAAACTTCAGTTGTGCTGCCAGCAAATACAGTTGTCTCCCACATGTGTGTAGGGAGTAGAAGGTTTCTATATGTATGCTGAGGATGGCAACAGCTGCAGTCCTGATGTGCTCCAGTAATGCTTCATCCCTTTTCCAGGAAGACACTCAGGTGCCTGATTCTGTCACAGGCACTGGATTTCCAAAGACTTTGTGACTTAGCTCAGTTGCAAAAGAGACAAAAAGGGCTCTTTAATAGGCAACAACTAATTCCAAATCACCGCAGCATTAAACCCTTCCCCATCTAATGCTGAAACCACAGGAAACAGTGCAATATGCACTGTTTGGAATATGCAAAAGAATATTCCACTTGCAGAGCATCAAAAGGGTAATAGTTGTGTACTTGGTTCTCTCTCCCAACTATGTCAATATATACTTAGTACACACTAAGAATCCACCAGAACTGGTACACTGTACAGAAGATTTTTCTGCAAGATAAATTAGCATAGGGTGACCTGGTGTTCAGGAAGAAAGACAAGAAATTGAAACTTTGTTATCTTAAGAAAATATGCAAAATGAAAGGATGAGCTTAGTGTTTGTCTCCTGGTATAATTAAGACAGGTAGTTACCGAAGTGGGAGTCCCTTCCTGGGCAAGAGTAATGAATTCTCACTCACATTCTCTTTAATTTCAGTTGTGGCATCTAAAGCCTACCTGAAGATTGTACCACTCCCAAAAACACGCTCAAAGCTGAATTCAGTCTTTTGGCAGAGTACAGTTCTTCACCCAGCCATCATCCATGATATGTCCATCCCTTGGCAGTGTTCAAGGCCAGGCTGGACAGGGCCTGGGGATGTGATCTGGTGGAAGGTGCACCTGCCCATGGCAGGAGGGTTGGAACCAGATGATCTTTAAGGTCCCTTCCAACCCAAACTGTTCCATGATTCTGTGATTCATTCTATGTCATCAGGAGACCAGGCCTTGCTCTTAGAAAAAAGCCCTGTCAGTGGGCTGGTGACGGATGCAGTGTCCCTGCCAGGCAGGAGCCCTTCACAGGTCCTTACCTTGTGAGGGGCAAGCAGGAGTCATGAAGTGATCATTGCCATGAAACAAACTCAAAGGAAAAAAATAAAACTAAATTTAAACAACAAAACACCACCACCACAAAACAAAACCCAAAGAAACACCAAAAACACCCGCTCAGATCTCATCTTTTCACTACAGACAGGATAAGGGCGGCTGTGTGAAACCTCAGCACCTGCCTTCAATTCGCCACAGCCGGGCCCCCGGAGCCTACAGGAGTCCCCCGCGCTGCCGGCCCTCCCCACACCCCCAGCGCCCTCAACCCCCTTCCGGCCCCTTGCCGTCTCCTCAAGCCCCTTTGCTGACCCCGCCTGGCTGCCCACAGCTACCGGCCCGGCCTCGCCCTATGCTGCCGCTTCGTGTCGCTGCCCCCGCCCCGGGCCGCCCACAGCACCTGCCCCACAAAGTAACCCGGCCGCTGTCCCCCGGCTCCCATAGGCGGAGCTGCCTACAAACCCCAGCAGGCCCCGCAGCAAGGACGCCAGAAGCAGCGGGAGGGCACCGCAAGGGCTGCTGGGGTCGGTAGTCCCACGCCGACTTCAGGGGACAACGGGCAGTGATGGCTGTCGGCCTATGGTGAGAGGCCATGTTCAGTGTGGGCATAGGGTGAGGGGACAAATCGTGGCCGTGGCAGCGATAGCGTTAGAACAATCACACGGACCTCAGAAATTCTTCTTACACGGTGTTGACAGTTAGTGCTGCATTCACCCTCTTCACAACTCTTCCAGCCCAGTCCCTCTCTCCTTCTCTCGCAGCTCTGTGAACAGCTTGTGGGGTTTGTGCTTATATTTTATTCCACGCTTTCCAAACTAGAAGTGGTTTTACTCAAACGAGTAAACTCACGGGTGGTTTTACACAGACTCATGCTTCCGTCAAGGGCTCACTGTGTCTCTCACCTCAGGTGGATCCTGCAGATGTGTGTCCTGAGCAGCCTGTGTCCCGTGCTCTCAGAGCTGAGTCCTTTCAGGTGACCAGTGCCCTCTGTTCTGCTGTGTTTCCTTTCAGCACGCCATATATTTGGTGAGTAAATCAGCTATAAGAGAAAATCCCCTGTAAAATCTAATCCTACATTTTCTCCAGATATTAGATGACTAATCAAGTGTCATGAGGAAAAAAAGTAGTTCTTGCCTTGTGTAAGTGATCCTTTGAAAAGGCAAATTTGAGAACATTTAGTGTACCCTTTTGACAGAAGGATCTTCAGAGGATCTACAGTACTAAGAAGTATTTCAGTCCTTTCTGTAATTGCTTTAAGAAGTACATGGCATTCAAATGTGTCCCTTTTCTTTCTGTTTAGTCAGAAGTATTTTCCTGGAATAAAATTTGCAAGTGCCTCATTTTTCCTTTATTTAATTGTTTGGATACTATTGCTGTTTTAGCATGGATCCTTCCTTGCCTCCTCAAACCCGAGACAGAGGTGTTTCTTCCTTGGTGTGAATAACTGTGCTCAAGTGAATGGGCCTGCAGGAGAGCACAGCGCATGGCCACAACTGTGGACATGAGCAATGCAGCCAGACGAGAAACCAAAATTAGACTTATCAAATTATTTAATAC